GGAATGCAAGGCATTCAATATCTAAAAGTAAGGCGTCTCAGAAAAAACTTTATTCATGGAAGTAGAATCACAAGAATTGATGAAAGTATTCGCATGTGTAAAGGATTTTTATCATCAGACCTTTTATCTGTCAGCAGCTTGGGGCACAGAACTATCATATTTGTATGGATGGAAAGCAATACATCTATCCCAAGCCTTGCATACGACAACATTACAAGTTGAAATTCCAGAACTTCTTTCTATTAATTTTAAAGCCAAAAGTGACTGCTGTAATTACCTCACCCAGCTGCTGTATTGCAGGACAGTGAGTTTCATCTGGTAGCCTAAGTGTATTGCTAATTGCACATGTTTGTAGATATCTGCTCAGGCAGATGAGATTAAAAGATCAGAGCAAAATTCTTGCCATGGGCCTCAGTCAGGACATGGTTTCATCCTCAGTCTCTGTTCAGTGTTCTCTTACTGACTTATCTTTGGACTTCTTGGAGGTTTTTTTGTTTGTTTGTTCTCCAGTTGTGAGGTCAGGATAACGTTATCGTTCTACCCTGTGAGAGCGTTTAAAAGGTTAAACTACTGGCAACCGTCATGGCAAATGCTTCTTTGAAGCAGCTCTTTGTAAAAAAAAATTCCTAACTCTGTCCATATTTTCACCACCCAGGCTCAGATGTATGAAATCCGCATGATGTAAACTATGTCCACAATTAATGATGCCATATAAACTGTTTGGAGTAGATGTTTTATTTACACTGGCAAGACATGGGAGTGCAGGTTTGTCTCTGGAAGTCCTGTAGCACCCTTTCACGTGGAAGGTGTTTCCCGGTTTGTGTTCGGGTTTTTTTGTTTCTCTGTATCTCTGACAACTTGCATTGTGCAATACAGCAATGCACCCCAGTCCATTGTTGTGATGTTTTACTTTGATTCTTTTCTCCATCTCTCCACTCCTTCTGGAAATTTCACATATTTTTTCCCGGTGAAGTAATCCAAAGCATGTAAATTGTGCCACCATATTAATTAGAGATGCTGAACTAATTCAGAAACATTACCAATCTGTTCAGTGATTGTTTCTTTCACAAATCAAAGGATATCTCATTCAGAAAGATGTCTTAGTAGTTTGCAGCACTAGAAATTATCTTATTTGGAATCTTCTTATGGAAAGTCTCATGAAGCCAGTAGATACTTTTTTGCCTACCATAACATAAAAGCAGTAATGGGCTTTTAACTCTCTTGAGTTTGTGAAACATTTTTTTTCAAAAGATAGAAATGATCATGTAATGAAACTCAACATACTCCTTTTAAGCAAGAAAATTTCGCATGTATAGTATATGGGAGATTGAGGCCCAATTCTCCAATAGCTTTATGAAGAAATATTCATGTCACCATTTAAAAAACCCTCCTTTAAACAAATTCTATATATGAGGTTGGGGGGGAGGGCATTGTTTTGGTTTTTTATCTTGTAGTCTCTGTGGAAGTCCCTACAAGGTGGGAGATTTCTTACAAGCCTTATGGAGGTTATAATTTGAGGAAAAAAGAGAGGCATCTTTCCCATTGCCAGTATGATACATTTTGCTAAAGTTCTATGACTAATAACAAATTCCAGAAAGAATGATTACTCACAACTACATCTGAATGGGAGGTGTTAGCTGTTCTGGACTGCCCAGAGCAGGACCCTACTTCACTATTTCCAATCTTTATTAGATAAGAATGTAACTATTCAGACATGTAAAAAAAGATGTGGAGAGTTTATCCAACTTATAGGCAGTATTAGCAGTACCGTAAGGACTGATAATGCTGTGATTCCCTGCTTCAGCATTGTGTCAGACCATTACATCAACTCTTTCTGATTAATACTGCAAAGCATTTTTGGAAGCTTCCAGATGAAGTGTCCGAAAAATAGGACAGATTGTACTGTGATCTTGATGCAGAGGAGTTAACAGGGAGGAGTATCCTGAACTAATTAAGCTTTATCCTATATCTTTTGTCTAACCTAGGTGGCTTCTTCATTTCTTCCATCTGGAAGAAGAAGCAACCCATGGCAGACAACTTCTTTTCCTCATTAGTGTTTAGTGGAGCTCCCATCCATACCTATGCACATCTGTTATATGTGGTCTTCAGTTTACCCACAGGATATTTTTAATATAACATTCAGGCTTTTAAAACAGAATTTCTCTTTCTTTTGATCTTGGATTTGGTTCAGACTTCTTTAGAAGTTGCAGTTCTCCTGTTCCTAGACATCTTCTTTGACTGATACAATAAACTTCCATCATGCCAGCCAAGCCATTGTGCGTGATGAATTAAACATCCCTGCTGTTTTCTTTGATCACAGAAATAAAAATTACTCTGTTATTATAATCTCTTAACTTTTCATAAAGCTTTCATAGCTTAGATGGAAAAGACCGGTTAGATCATTGATTCCACACACTTCTTTAGAAGCAGAATACCTATCGACAGCTTATATTTGAGCAAGAGACAGATCCCCCACCTTGCATCTACCTATTTGAAGTGAAAATTGACAAAATATCAGAGTCGTCTGTATGTTGGGACCCCACACTAGATTACCTAGATGACCTACTGTTTTTATTTTTTTCTTTTTCTTGTCTTATCTTGGATTTTGGTTTTCTGGTGCTCTGTTTTGTCTTTTAAATTGTCTGACAGTGTAACAATCAATACTTCCAATTAAAGCAAAGTTTAGAGGTCCTGAAACTGAGTGCTGCTCTTCCACCAGCAGAACAGATAAGGGCAACGCCACCGCTAGAATTAAAAGCCCAGTGCTGGAGATAAAAAGCAAACCAAAGTTCTCTAGTGCCTGCCTTTCCTGTCTAGTGCACTGTGTATGTTTTACCAGAAAGCAATTAGAATGTGTGTGACTGCTTTGGGAGCCAATACTCTCACAGCAAAGCCAGTCTTGAAAGCCCTGCATAGTGATCACTTCTACTCCACGGCCCTGTGCTGGGCTTGCAGTTCCCACAACAACAAATTAGTAGTCTTTCTGGACCTGATCCAAAGTGAATGAAGTGAGTGGGAACTATTTCAGTTAGCTGTAGATGAAGCAAAACATTATAAAAAGGTAAGTGCAATAGTAAGTTGCACGTGTCCAGCTGTGATTCCAGAGAACTGATGTGT